CTTCACACACACACACACACACACACACACACACACACACACACACACACACACACAATTTAAGATAGTTTATTTCTAGGGAATATGTAAGCAGAGATTGCTCTTTTGTTCCTGGCCGCCCAGATTCGAATAATTACACAGAAACTATATTAATTTCAACACTGCTTGGCCTACTAGCTCAGACTTATTAAGTAACTCTTACATCTTAAGTTAACCCATTTCTATTCACCTATGTATCACTATGAGACTGTGGCCTACCGTTAAGGTTCTGGTGGTATTCTTCTCTTTTGGCAGCTAGATATTGTCTCCCTGACTCTGCCTTCTCTCATTATATATCCCTTCCAGTCTGGCTATATTTTGCCCTGTCATTGGCCAAAGCAGCTTTTTTCATGAACAAATAAAAGCAACACATATAAAGAAAGATATCCCACATCAGAAACATGCAGTATGAGGTGCAGATTCCACATCTCCCTCTGTACACTGAGATTACCAGCTCCAAGCACGGTCATTTCTGTACATAAAAGAACACCCCCTTTCCCTTTACTTTCCCTATAAAGGGGTTCTCAAACTCCAGCAGTATCAGGATGCCCTGGAGGACTCATATAATCCAGATGAACTCCGAGGCTATCTCTACACAGTAGGTTTGTAACATATCTATCAACAGGTATCTTCACTAGTTTCTAAGCGCTGCAACAGTTCTGGGGGAGTAGGACATACTTTGAAAATTACTGCCTTAAAGTACTTCAAACATAAAGCAGGGGAATTTAAATGTTGCTCAGTTTCTCCAAGAGGAAAACAGTGGTCCTGGCCTGAGAAATGATGCCCTACCTAGGATGACGGATGCACTGTGCCTACAGTAAACTAGACTTGAGGTTCAGGGACCTCACTGTTCTACACAAATGCCCTGGTCACTGTTTTCTTGGTCAGTGCTTTTTGGATCTACTAATTCTACATATGAGGTTTTGAACTCATTATTTGAAGGGGTCATGTCCCACCACCACCACCATGATCAGCACCAACTGCTTAGGAGATAATTTGTTATCCTATTATTTTCTTCTCTTAAAAATGTACTACTTCAGTTGATTCCTGTAACATGTAAACCCATGATCATTACCATTTCACATATGAGGAGCTCAAAAGACAGATTATTTAATGAAAATTATATTTTGTAAGCACTCAAGTCTAACCTATTTCCTGACCTCAAAGGCAAATGTTTTTCTCTCCTGTTTTGACTTCTTTCTAATTTTTATTTTGTGTTAGAAACAGGCTGAATATATTCATGTCTATAGAGGCACACGCCAGAAATAAACCATTAAAATTTTTCAAATAAAAAGGTTTTTTATTCTTGAAGAATGTAATACACACATACAAGGTATTTTGATCACATTCGTCCTTCCACTCCCTCCCAACTCCTCTCAGATCCACCCCGTCCCAATTTCATTTCTAGAAAATGTTAACTCCAGTCCATATACTCATGGGTGTTGGGTTAGGCCAACCACTGGATCAGACTCAACCTACCAGAGGCCACAATCTTAAAAACAAACAAGCAAACAAGTAACTATCTCCCCAGCTGCCACCCACTGTCTAAACTTCCTTCATCAGTGGAAGCATGCCTTCCCATTCATGCAAACCTGACATTTTCTGACCAGAGCAAGTCCAGGGAGTCCACCCCTCCCTGCACAAGGCAACCAGCACAGAGGGTGGGCATATCATAGCATAACATGGGCCAGTGACACTTCTGCCTGTTCGTAGGAGATTTAGGGAGATAGTGCCAGCTTGGAGTGATCACGAAAGCTTGAAGCTCCCAACTCAATATTCTTACTGAAAGATTACCCGAAAACAAGAGACAGCAAAAGCAATTGATTTTGTGTAAGCTATTTGTGTAGAGCACAGACACACTGATGCACAAAAAAAAAAAGATTTTATTTTGTTGTTTGTTTGGTTGATTTGGTTTCTTATGTTGTGAGTATTGAGTGCAATATTCCACCTTTGAAATCTGGGTATATGTTGTAACATGTGTTCTATTTTCCTTGATTCTAGAAAAGGGAGCAATGATCGATGAAGTACCAGCTACTGGGGAAAAAGCACTGGGGGGAAATAACAAGGCAAAGGCCACAAAAGCAGTAACTGTCATCTCTGGCATTTAAAAAACATGCCCATCTTACCAAAACAATCTACAGATTCAATGAAATGGCCAGAAAAAATCTTCATAGACCTCAAAAGAACAATACTGAATTTCAAATGGAAAAGCAAAAAGACCCAGGATAGCCAAAACAATCCTGCACAATAAAGGAACTCCTAGACATCACAATCCCTGACTTCAAACTCTTCTACAGAGCTACAGTACTAAAAATAGCCCAGTATTGGCATAAAAAGAGACAAGAGGACCAATGGAACAGAATCAAAGGCACCAGATATCAATCCACACACCTACAAACACTTGATTTTTGATAAAGGAGCAAAAAATATAAAATGGAAAAAAAGAAAGCATATTCAAAAAGTAGTTCTGGCATAACTGGATATCAACATGTAGAAAAAAGACAGTAGTCCCATGTCTATCACAATGTACAAAACTCAAGTCCAAATGGATCAAAGACCTCACACTGAACCTCATAAAAGAGAAAGTAGGAAGTACACTTGAGCTCATTGGCACAGGAGACCACTTCCTAAATATAACCCCAATAGCACAAACATTGAGAGAAACAATAAATGGGACCTACTGAAACTGAGAAGCTTCTGTAAAGCAAAGGACACGGTCAACAAGACAAGATGGCAGCCTACAGAATGGAAAAAGATCTTTACCAACCCCACATTGGACAGAGGGCTGATCTCCAAAATATACAAAGAACTCAAGAAACTGCTCATCAAAAAAACAGATAATCCAATGAAAAATGGGGTACAGACCTAAACAGAGAATTCTCAACAGAGGAATCTAAAATGGCTGAAAGACACTTAAGGAAATGCTCAACATCCTTAGTCATCAGAGAAATGCAAATCAAAACAACTCTGAAATTCCATCTTATACCTGTAAGGATGGCTAAGATCAAAACACTAATGACAACTTATGCTGGAGAGGATGTTGGGTAAAGGGAACACTCCTCCATTGCTGGTGGGATTGCAAACTGGTATAGCCCCTTTGGATATCAGCATGGTGATTTCTCATAAAACTAGGAAACAACCTTCTTCAAGACACAGCAATACCACTTTTGGGCATACACCCAAAGGATGCTCAATCATACCACAAGGACATGTGCTCAACTATGTTCATAGCAGCATTGTGTGTCATAACCAGAACATGGAAACAACCTAAATGCTCCTCGACTGAAGAATGGATAAGGAAAGTGTGGTACCTTTACAGAATGGAATACTACATAGCAGAAAAAAATGATGACATCATGAAATTTGCAGGCAAATAGATGGTTTGAGAAATCATCATATTGAGTGAGGTAAACCAGACCCAGAAAGACAAATATCATATATACTCACTCATAAGTGGTTTTTAAACATAAAGCAAAGAAAAACCAGCCTACAATTCACAATCCTAGAGAACCTAGACAACAAAGAGGACCCTAAGAGAGACATACATGGATCTAACCTACATGGGAAGTAGAAAAATACAAGATCTCCTGAGGAAATTGGGAGGGTGGGGACCTTGAAAGAGGGCAGAAGGTGAGGAGAGGAGAAGAGAGGGAAGTGGAGAAAAATATATAGCTCAATTAAAAACAATAAAAAATTAAAACAGAAAACAGAAAATCATGCCCTTCCTTTTTGTTAATTCATTTCCATAACAACAAAGTAGGGAAGATTTGAGTGCCTCTGGCTGTAAGCATGGCTTTGTGTCCATCAACTCACAGAATGTGTGAGAGCCCACAAGGTAGACTCTGCCAATAGCACAGCTTTACAGAGGCGAAGGGAATGCAGGGGTTTCCGAGCTTACCCAGACATCACTCACTGTGACAGAAGTGCGATGTGAATTATATCATGCAACCATAGGCCAGTGTCACCCAGACTTTTACCTGCTGGGAGGCACTCTCCTTGCCGCATGTCCCAAAACTGTCTTGAGAAATCCTTCACTAGTTCTTTCTCTGCTGTTCTATACAAGAGCTCACCACTGAAGACAGTATCTTTAGCACTGATGTTCAATACTTGAGAGCTTAGAAGCCTTATCTGCTTATGCCTTGTGTGCCTACATGTGCCGGTGTTAAGTGTGCGCATGTGTGTGCACACACGTGCATCTTTGTTCCATTTTTTCAATTATTCCATGAAACTCATAATTAACTATGAAAGCAACAGCTGTTTATCAAGTGCTTATAATGTGCTGGCACTTGGCAGAGCATCAGCCTCAGGATTTTGCTCACCTATACCCACCACAAGGACCACAGCAGACCACTAGGAGCTGAGGAAGCCACAGCACACCGACACGAGGAGCCAGAGAAGGACAGGGTCTGTGGGTGAGTCTCTAATACAGGCAGGGCGCCCTCAATGAGGAGAGCACTTTCCATTCTTTTTCAGACGGACTTTAATGTGAGGGGGTATGTACTGTGAAGCTGAGACCAAGGTTCCACAGGTATTCTCTGTTGCCAAGTTATGGTGGTTTCTGCACTTCTAAAGCATTCGCGTCATCACTAGGATGCACGTTTCCCTTCCCTGTGTCCTAGCCAGCCAGGGACACCAGTTTAGACTACGAAATGAAGATGATCAGGAAACAGTGGGTCAGCCAGGAAACAGGTCCGTGTTTACAATTCAGTCTAACCCTCCCTGCCTGCACTCTCTGTATGACCATGTGAAATGTGTGTCATTACATCAGCTATTAAGGTGGAAAAATGTAACTGGAACTACAGTTATCTGATGCGACTGCCACATTGTCTGTCCTGAATTAGTACAAATTCTGGCTTCAACCAAAATCACTAAACAACAGGCAGATGAACTGGCAAGACCATCCCGATCCTGCTTCCACCGAACACCTGCTAAATATAATGTTGTTCAAATAAGGAGTCATGGAGTGTTTTAAATGTTTATTAGTAAGAGTTCTGGGTACAAATAAATTTAACTTGATATTTAGAAAAAACTGATTGGCTTTCTAAGTTTTACACATTTTAATATCCAGTTCTAACACTAAACATCATAATGCTTTTAAACTTTTAACTTAATTTGTTTTAATTTTAATAATTCTTTGCTCACTGGGTTAAATAGATTTTCAGGGCATAAATCTAATTAAAGTAAGGAATAAAAATTTTTCTGAAAAAGTTTTTTTAAAAATTATAAAATTAGAATTCTTCAGTAGAAAACTTACAGCCACAAACAAAATTAACATTACATAATGTTTGATCAAGAACTGTATCACAAATAACACGTTTACATATATTACAATGATCTGCAATATAGTAAATGCTTACTCATAGAAGATCTAAAATCCTCTTTGAAAGAAGCTTTACATATTATGTAGTACTTTAAGGAGAGTCTGTTCCCAATAAATGACGAGAAGCTGGTCCAGGAGGTGACAGGCAGTGCAGCCGTGAATGAGAGGCCTAACCAAGTAAAGACTTACCAAATATCAAGCAGTATTCCCAAGTCAGCATTCAGAAGAACCCCAGACACCATGGGAACTCCCGCCCTAAGTCAGCATGAATGCCTGGACGACCATACAACCCACGCCATGAACAAATGGTCACACTGCTTCATCACTTCGTTACACAGTGTTTCTCCTTGGCCCATCTATCACTGCTGCAGCAGAGCAGGCTGTTCAGCATCCGCCTCTGCATCTGTCTTGAACTGTGTGTAAGGAAACTGCACCTTTCTACTCGGCACAGCAGGTGCCCCATGCTAAACACTTCTCCCCACAGTGGCATCAACATCAGTTCTGTAAACCCAAGACTATCACACTTCTGTCTGCTGAGTTTGAGTACAAGTTCAAATCTTAAAATTACTTATTAAAATTTCCAAAACCAGGACTCTGGAAACATAATTAAGCTGAAAATAATTCTGTATTGTACTGACATTTCTTCTCCTTCCTGTATTTGGTAGGGAATCTTCCAGCAGCCACCAGAATTCAGAGTGTACAAAGGAGGGGAATGGCACTGTGCCTAAGCCTCCTGGAGCCACACGGGGTACCATACAAGGCAAAAATGCCTTCCGTGACCCACCTAAGTGGCCAGCCGAGCAGCAGTGAGTGTTTTAGGCACCCCAGTGCATACCTTGGTAAGTACCCCAAATTCCAGAGGAAGTCCTAAGGTTGTTGCCACCACCACTCGGGAGTAGCTTGGCTTTGCCACCTCAGACAAGGGTACAGCTCCAAGTCCCATCGCTCTTTGCTAACTGGTGAAAGGTCTTCACTAGAGACCCTTAATTTCCATTTAACCATCAGTGGGAAGACAACACTTAGGCTCAGCGAGATTTGATAAAAAAATAAATAGAGGTAAAAGTAGGAAATGAGAAAGATTCTAGTGAAGTAAAACTTGCCACAGCTCAGTAAGTGAGACCAGTTGTAAAAACAGGAAAAAAAAAGGAAGCAGCAACTCTCCTTTCAGTTCATTTCAAAACAAAAACAGCATTCTTAGCAACATGGTCATGTTAGGTATGGCGCTATTTGTTCAATTGTGCAGTATTTAGTTGCTAAGAACTACTCCCTAATAAGTCTATTTTACCATTAGAAATTGAAGTTTTTATAATAAATACTGTATTAAAATACTTTAATATTTACAATTTTAAAAACATATACACATATACTCTGTGCGCTCCAGTCAGTCATCTGAGTGTGACCTCTTCAATGTCCTCGTCAACAGAGTCAACAGCTGTGACTGTTGGCTTATTGCTTGTGTGCTTTAGCCGCTGTCTGTTGGGATTAAAACTTCTTCCTTCACTGAGGAAAAAGTCTTCATCTTCATCACCAGGCTCCTGAACTCTGCCGATTTTATCCCCAGAAGGGAAATTAAGAGGGTCCAAGTCTCCTCTGCTGGCAGCCAGAAAATGTGTCTCACTGCTCTTGGCAGAAATGGTGGTGCTGCTGGTGCTGGGGCCAAACAGTTCCTCCATTAGGTTCGCTTTTTTCTCTTTTCTCAAAATTAAATCTACACTGTTTTTACCTAGGCTTTCTAAACTGTTATTTTGAAAATCTAAAAGGTTACTTTTTTGGCTAAGTGGATTTGACTTTCCTGACATTTTTGCAAATGAAGGCACATAGCTACCAAACGCAAACTCATCTGGAGGGGCTGGACTTCGAATTAGTCCTGGACTCCGAATCGGTCCTGGACTCCGGCCTTCTCCTCTGGGAGTTAAAAAACTCATGTCTGACAAGTGATGTCCATTAAATGATCTATCTGAAGACTCGGAGAATGTGTATGATTTGGGGCTTCTGTCTGGAGAATGCAATTTTGATTCAAAGTTAGGTAGCAATGGCAAAGGGGGCCGGTTAAGGTTCTGAGGTTCTTGGAGTTCTCTGTTGATCTCGTTCAGTTTGGCAAGAAGCATTTCTGTCTTTAGTCTTTCTGCCTCATCTTCGAGTTTATCAGCATTCTGAATTTGATACGTTTCTCCTTGAAACCTTCCAGTCTCCAGCACTGGCTTCTCTGTTTTTCCTAGTAAAGATGTCTTACCTTTCACTTTATCAAATTCTTCTCTTTCCCATTCTGTATAAAATGAAATTTAAAGACAGGAATTTTATAGCAGTTAGTATTTCTAAACAGGAGAACTTGGCTACAATCTTTTGCAAATGTCTTTTAATCTACATTTGGCATGCTAAGATAGGATAATGGACATCATAATATTTTGTTTCTACACTTGGCATTCTGGATTCGGAAGTAATTTACATGGATTGCACCCTGATCTTCAGTGTGGCAGTAGGAAGGTTCTCCATGCAGGAGTCTACAATTCATGGTGTGTGGGAGACAGGAAGAACAAGGAGCTCAAACATAAACTCTTGGCTGTCCTGAGAAAGCATCCCTACACAGAACTCAGACAGCAAGTGCACTAGCTCAAATCAAGAGAAGATTTCAGTTACATCTCAAAGGAAGAACGTTCTATTTTTTTTAAAAAGGTGTGTAACTATAAAAATATTAATTGCATAGACTAAAAAAAACATAAGCAAAAATACTTCACAGTAAACATGACCCTAGAGGTGAGAATTAAGCACAATTTATGATCATGTTCTGAAGAAAGAAAATGCCTCAAGGAACAATCTTGTGTCTACCAACGAAATCGCAATATGACCACAGACTAGCTAAAGGTGTCAGAGTTAAAGCTCCCGAAGTGTGGGGAGTGCGCCGGAGAGCTTGGAGGCAAGGTCTGTGCATGCATGACATACATGCCACGTTCTTAAGGTACAGATATGAGGTGCAGGATTCATTTGAAAAACTTTGTTTTGTTTCAGCCATCCTATAATTTTGAAATCATTTTCAAGTGAAAGAATTAAAAGTATAAAAATATCATAATTTCAATAAAGGGCATACATTCTGATATTAGATCACCCATATGGAACAGGGGGTGAGGAGATAGTCAAAGTGACCAAGCCACGGTCTTCTGCTGATTTGTTCCTTTTCTTGTTCCCTAAAATGAACTGATCGTAACAACTTTCCTTTCTGTGGCTTAAAACATGAAAGCATCTTTCTTGGCCACTGGTCAAAAGTGATACAACTACCATTTTCCATCTAGTACACATGCGAACATTCCCATCCAGTACACATGTGAACATTCCCATCCAGTACACATGCGAACATTCCCATCCAGTATACAGGCTAACATTCCCATTCAGTACACAGGCTAACATTCCCATCCAGTACACAGGCGAACATTCCCATCCAGTACACAGGCTAACATTCCCATCCAGTATACAGGCTAACATTCCCATCCAGTACACAGGCTAACATTCCCATCCAGTACACAGGCTAACATTCCCATCCAGTACACAAGCTAACATTCCCATCCAGTACACATGTTAACATTCCCATCCAGTACGCATGCTAACATTCCCATCCAGTACGCATGCTAACATTCCCATCCAGTACACATGCTAACATTCCCATCCAGTACACATGCGAACATTCCCATCTAGTACACATGCGAACATTCCCATCCAGTACACATGTTAACATTCCCATCCAGTATACAGGCTAACATTCCCATCCAGTACACATGTTAACATTCCCATCCAGTACACATGTTAACATTCCCATCCAGTACGCATACTAACATTCCTATCCAGTACACATGCTAACATTCCCATCCAGTACACATGCGAACATTCCCAGCCAGTACACATGCGAACATTCCCATCCAGTACGCATGTGAACATTCCCATCCAATATGTATGCTAACAACTTCAAGCATAACTAGAACACAAATTTCTGTTCCATGAATTTAAGCTTAAAACATAAGATTTCTCTGTAAACAACTACCATGGAACTAATGGAACATGGAACTCAGTCTGGACTCTTGGTATCCAAACCTCTAACACAGTCTATACAAATGGAAATGAACTTGATTTAAATAAATAAAACCAACAACCTATATGAAATTGTGATGAGGTAAGCTATAAAAGTAGCTTTGATCTGTCTACTTTTATAACAATGAACTTTTCCACCATCTAAACTACGCGAACTGTTTCTCTGAACTTATAGGAAATGTTATTAAATATTTACAAATTAAAGTAAAAAAATTATAGGAATACTCAGGGCCTTGTAGATCACTGATTTTTGTGTTGCAGTTACTCCATAACCTAGAGATCAAGGCCAACACAGCAGAGGGCTCTCTCAGTTAACTCCTCATTTAGGTACAGGAACAGTTCCCCTCTTTGATTAAACATTGTTTCATTTAAATTCCCTCAAGTTAATCTATTCATAATTCCCAAGCCCCTTCCAGTCTTCCTTTTATTCCTTTTGTAACTCCATCCCATTGTTCTGACTCCTGTGTGCCACCACTGCTGTTGCCTCTGCCTCTTCTCTGTCCCTGCAACCACGCAAAGCTCACTACTGGCTTACACAAACTCTTACCCCTCTCAGGCTTCCCCGCCTCCTGTTTCCCAGAGTATCCTTCCTGATCTTCACTGCATCTTTCTTCTTTGTCCAAGACTGGGTTTAGAATCTCTGCTCCATGCTCATTTCGCTCTTGGTATTCCAGGTACTATCATGCATTTCAAAAATACAAATTCATATAAAAAGGGGGAAATAGTCTTTAAACATAACAAATCATCCATTAAGCAAGTTAGAAATTAAATCAAATCTTCACATAATAAGTCAAGTTACCATGTTTTGCAGGATGCTTCAAAAAGAATTCTTAACTGAGCTAAATTTTTAAAGAAAAAAGTTATAAGATATATCAGAACCAGTCAAAATAATGAAACCAAAGTCAACAACCATGTGATGAGGTAAGCTGGAAAAGTAGCTTTGGTCTGTGTACTTTTATAGTAAAATCTGATTAATCCACCTAACCAGAAATGGCCATTAACCAGCTGAGGTAGCCAACTAAGATGGTGTTGAATTGCAGAACACAGGCATTGACAGCCACACTGAATCTTGCAAATCTACACTATGTCTAAATCTCTAATTAAAAATTATTTAAAAATTATGTAGCTTTGAAATTGAATAATGTCATGAACTTTTTTGCTGGTCCCCAAGATGGTCCACCTTTATTGTTAGCTTAGAATCAGTTGCCTAGGAGATAAACATCTGAGTGTTACCCTAAGAACTGAGGTCGGGGTTGGAGAAATAACTCTGTGGAAAGGCAGTGGCTGCTCTTCCAGAGGTCCTGAGTTCAATTCCAAGCAACCACATGGTGGCTCACAACTGTCTGTAATAGGATCTGATGCCCTCTTCTGGCATAAAGGTGTACATGCAGGTAGAGTACTCATGTACATTAAATAAATAAATCTTAAAAGAAAAAGAACCGGAGGAGGAGGGCCCATGGTGAATGTGTGTGGACCTGCCCTCATGGCTGGGGACTGAAGAGGAAAGCAGAGAGCCACCTGAGCACCCACATTCACCTCTGCTTCCTCACTAGGTGTGATATGACTGGCTGTCTCACATTCCCCATTATGACGGACAGCATCCCCTAAGTCAAGAGTCAGAATGAGCCCTTCCTTTCTTAGGATGCATCTTATGAGGTATTTGGTCACAGAGACAAGAAAGGTAACTAGCACTCTTCCCCATGGGACACAGAACCGGAGTTGGGGGGCAGCCTGTGAGAACTTCGGCCACATTTGTGAAAACAGATTTCCTGGTGTTGGGCTCTAGTCATCATGTTAAACTCACCGAAGAAAGAGATTCTGGTCTGTCCCATTTGTTCTCATAACACAGGACAGTCTGTGGCATGACAGGGAATTCCTCCAGCTCCGAGTCTTCAGTGGTCTGCACTCCCTTTGTGCACAGGTCGGTAAGGTCACTCTGGCATGATACTGTCAAGAAAAGCATAAACAAGTTTTCTAACCCCACTGAATAACGTTAACATATATTCAACTGGCAATATTCATCTAAGTGAGAGAACAGACTTTGTTCATGAAGGATTAGCTAGCAATGATGTGAGCGGAGGGCAATTATACTACAAATGCTAATCGTCTTCTGCAAAGTGGATACTTTAAAATTTTTCTAATTCATAGGAGAATTATACTTTTGTTAGGAAAAGGAAAATTGCACAATAATAGAAAGTATAAGTGGAGTGAAGTACAAGTATCTGGATTTGCTCTAAAATACACTAGAAAGCGGAAGAAATGGATGAAATAGCAGCAACAGAGTACAACTGTTAAAGCTAGGTGCTTAACACTTGGAAATAATTATATATTTTACGTTATCAAAATTACAATAAGGTTTTTAACTTTTATTAAAATTAAGTTTATTTAATGAGAACATAAAAGCTGTACATTACCACTATGTTTTGGGATGCTTAAACACAGGAACACATAGACATTTTTTAAAAGGCTGCATAAAATGTATTTTTTAAAAAAAAAATTTGTAAATTCTATTTTTTTTAATTTATGTGCATGGGCTGTCTCTGTGTCTGTGTGCCATGAATGTGTGTCCTCAAGAAGCCCAGAAGTGGGCATCAGATCTCCTGGAAGATCAGCAAGTGTTCTTAACCCCCACCCCAGTCATCTCTCCAGCCCCCTAAAACAGGGTTTTAATGACTTCTCCTTAGAAAGACAAAAGTTGAAAGACTGTGATTACTAGCAACGTTGATTTCTAAAAATCGGGTCAAATATACCCCAAGGCTCCTCCCCTTCACTGTCATGACTTTAGAGCCCACACATCACACAGCTCCAGTTTCAGCAGTAATTTACGATACCATTTTTTCTTGCAACAACTTCTTTTTCTTTCTTTGGGGATGACTTCGGCAGACGATTAGAGTATATGTTTTTTATATCCAATTCCCTCTCCTTTTCCTGAAAATAAACCCAAATACAAGAAAGGAAGATAATCAGTTTGAAATTAAACAAACACCTGCTGTGTGATAACCAACACCTTCTTTATAAAACTGAAACATCTCCAGGTCAGATCTCCATTGTAACTGTCAAACTAGAGAAAGAATTATCTCTGAGGAGGGGAAAGAGCAGGAGGAGGGGAAGGAAGGGGAAAGGAGAGAAGAGAAAGGGGGAAAGGAAGAGGAAGAAGGGGAAGGGAAGGGGAAAGGGGGGAGGGAAAAGAGAGAAGGAGGGGGGAATGGAGAGAAGGGGGAGGGAAGCAAGCTCCACTTGCTCCCCCATAGAGAGAGTAATGCCCATCTGCGATCCAGGCTCCACTTGCTCCCCCATAGAGAGAGTAATGTCCATCTGTGATCCAGGCTCTACTTCCTACCCCATAGAGAGAGTAATGCCCATTGTGATCCAGGCTCCACTTCCTCCCCCATGAAGTAATGCCCATCTGTGATCAAGGCTTAGCCACGGAGACAAAAGTGGACTCTTTCTTAAGAATGTGTTTTGGGTTATTACCTACTTAAAAATTAAATCATGTTTTCAACCCAAGAGATCCTCACAATATGAGAGTAATGCCTTTTTTTCTGAGAAGTTGAGCATCAAAGAGAAAACTCTATTAGGCTGGCATAATTTTGTAGAATTCTGAACAAACTTTCAACCCATCAATGACCTCCATAAAATGAAAATATGCTTAATACAATTAACTAATGTGAATTGGTTTCCTCTACATGAAATGAAGGCACCATCAACTTGAAAAGCAAGCAGTCCTGGGTCATGTGAAGAATACTGGGTCTTTTAAGAATGTGATGCACATGCTCATTCCCATGGTTCTCTTCCAGAATTTTGTAAAATTTATTTCATTTACATTGTTGCTACTGGTATATACAGTACTTTACTTGGTTATAGCAATTATATTAACAATGCTTTTCTTTCTAAGTGACAGATATAATACTAGAATTTTGTAAATTACATAGAAACAAATATGAATAGTGACCAGTTTTTTAAAAAAAAATACTAGGTTTTCATGTAATTTATATGACAGGAGAAATAATGGGGTCTAAAAAAACATGCCTACCTTCAGCTTGTGATAGAGCCGCTGCAGCTCCTTTTGAAGAAGTTTATTTTCATCATAAGCCTCAAACGCCCTTTTCCTTTCCGCAAGCAACTGCCGCTGGAAACTGTTGGTGCTTAGTTCGAGGTTTTTTGATAGTTCCTTTATGTAACAAAAACACAACCAATAGTCAAACCCAGGACTCAGGAGTGCCAGGCGACATCTCGGCAGCACTGATGAGACTTAAAAACCAGGTTAAGTTGATTGTTCACGAGCATATCACAAGCCAGGAAACAGGCTCCCTACCCATTAGTACAATGCCTCACTTGGCGATCCTTTCTTGCTTTTCCTGAGATGGGTAATCAATCCACCCTTACACATTTGCCTGCAGCGAAGTCACTTGCAGAACCAAAAGACAGAAGTGATAACAGAGGAGCTTCCAGAGGTCAGTGCTGGGAGTAAATACCAAGGTAGCTAATGGCAAACAGCACAGGTGCACTGGTGCACTGTGTGCATCCAACACCTTCTCAGGAAACTGCGGGCTGTTCCAATGGTCTCTGAACATGCAACACTGAAGTTACGAAGAATTTAAATTAAAATACTTTCTTTTCCAAATAAGTAGTTAGTTGCCTACCTTCTAGACAAAAAGAAGTCTTCTAAAGAGAACATAAAATCACATAGAAAAAAGGAAAATATAAGGTAGTTATGATCTCACTATTCGGTAATCACCATTGTCAACATCTCAGCCTGGAACTCCGATGTGCTCCTCCTCACTATCATAAAAACCTAAAGCAACTGACTTTAGTCGCACTATCTAAAGATGGGGCCATTCCATTTCTAGAACAGCATAATTTATTTAAGTAGACTCTGCTGTCCCAGTTTTTCTGGGCTTTCAGTTTTTTCCTAGTGGATATCCTAGAATAAATAACTTCAAACATAAATTGATTATCCCCAGGACAATGTTAAGAAATCAAGTTTCTTGGATTTTACTGAAATTAAGAACTCCTGTCTTTGAAAGTAACAAAGCCATTATATCACTATAACAAAACACTGTGTGTATAGACATATCTGTGTGTATATACAACATAAATGTATACACACATATATGTAGTCACATATTATATATATATATATATATATATATACATACATACACACACACACACACAAAATCACAATTCAAAGAAACTAAACAGCTCAGTAAAAAGTAGAGAGAATATTTGAACAGGTGATTTACCACAGAAAACAGAGACAAATAAGCACCAAGCATGAGGCTCCTGTATCATTAGCTGTGAAGAAAATGCAAACAAGCCACAATGAAGTAATATTACCTATCTGGTTGAATGTCTAAAACTAGGAAATTTAACTGACAGTGGTTCATGGGGATGAACAGTTATCAATATTCACGCACTCTGAGTGGGAATGTGTAATTTGACCGAGTTTTCAGGGCAAGTGGCTGGCTTGGCTTGGTGACTTTCCTCAATGTGTCAATTAAGGAATTAATAGTGAGAATCCACAGGTAGAAGGGACTGAAACACAAACTGCGGGCACAGAAAACATAATCACTGAAATTACAATGAAATAAAGGTCTCTAAATCAAAGGAGAATAACAGACATCTAAAGTCAAGAGGCATTTAGAACTCTAAACAGATGTGACCAGAAAAGCATGTCTCCAGGGCACATTACAGATAAAATGTCAACAAAGAAGACTCAGAAAACCTCAAAAAATAAGTAACTTGGGAGACAGACTCATCCACATCACATCAGACCTTTCTGCAGAAAGCCCAATGCCAGGAAAACATGGAGAAAAGCAAACAACCGCAGGATAAGATGACCATGCAGATCCAAGAATCCTTTAGTATAACGGAGATGCTTTCCAAGATAAACACAAACTACAGCAATTCCTGACTGCCAAACTAGCATCACAGAAGGCATCTTACAACAGGAGTAGAAGAATAAGGAACGAAACAAGCATATTTAACTCAGTATTTGGCAAATTCCTAAAATAAATAAAGAAGACAGAAAAGAACAAATGGTGTACAGATAGATAAACCAAGAAAAATCACAGAAGGTATTTTGCAACAGGAATAGAAGGATAAGGAATGAAGCAAGCATATTTAGCTCAGCATTTAGCAAATTCCTAAAATAAATAAGGAAGACAGAAAAGAACAAACAGTATACAAATAAACCAAGGAAAAATCCAATAAAATTACAATAACAAGTAACTTTCAATATTGACCCAGAACCTAAGTAAGTGGTTGTTAGCTCTCCAACTAAAAACTGCAAACTAGTGTATGAGAGGACAAAACCCAACCTCACTGGCAGAGATACACACTGATTTACCCAGCATGCAGAAGCTGCAAACAAGCAGGAACAGGTAGACTGATGGGTAATGGACTTCAAGCTAGAATTAGAGGGGATGAAGAAGAGCATTGTAACAAAAGAAACAATCTATCAAGAGGACTCAATGGGTGAAAATATATACCGCACATTGCTAAACACTGAATTTCACAAAACAAGTGCTATAGGTCCAGATAAAACAACAGCGATCTCAACACACCAACTCTCACCAATGAACATGCTATCAAGACAGAAAAGCTTCAAAGTCAAGTTGGACCACATGGAACAGACTTAACAGATATCTGTAGAATGTGCATGACAGCTGTGAAGACACAGTCCTCCCAAACAGATCATTGAAGCCAACAAAGAAATCATACCAAATATTTAAAAACTGAAATATTTTCTTATATCATCCATCATAATGGATTAAAACTAAAACTCAATAGAAAGAAACAAAGAAAATATTGAAATATAAGCTGAAGGAATTTGGAGGGAGGGGATGGGGGTCGATATGGTCAAGATGTATTTCACACATGCATGAAATTTTCAAAGAATAAACATGGTAAAAGGAAAACATGAAAATACCTGGAGATTGAGCAATAAACTGTTGAGTGATCATTGAGTCATTGAAGAAAACGGGAAAAATGCTTAGAATCAAATGAAAGTAAAAACACAACTTACTGGGTAGTTCTAAGGGAGGCATTTACTGTAATACGTGCCTATATTAAGAAGTCACAAATAAGTAACCTACTGATATACATCAAGGTCTCAGAAAAACAAAGCAATCCAAACCTCAAATGAGCAGATGGAGAGAAATAATGAAGACCAGAGGAAAAAATTAACAATTCTAAAGAAACCAGTGAGATGAAGTTAGCTCTCTGAAAAAATAAACATTATCAAGAACACAGAGAAATTCTTAGCCAAGGTGCATAGGAGGGGAACAGAGAGAAAAAGAAAGGGGTGGAGGAGGAAAAGAAGAGAGAGAGAAAACATGATAACTCAAATTAATAAAATTAGACCTGAAAAAAAGGATATGACACCAGATAACAGTGAAATCCAAAGGATCTTTAGTTGATGTTTTGAAAACTTTTGTTCTAGGAGGTTGGAAGTTAAAATAAAGAGTTCAATATCTATACTTGTAAGATCTATGGGAATTAATACAGGTGATAATCACAACTTAAACAGATCCAGAGAAAACACTAGACAGAGCAGTAATAAGGGAGGTCAGTATTGATGCAGTCACTGAAGGCCTAGTGACTTCCCTTGTTCCTGTGGGAGCACACCCGAGAGAAGCAGCTAACAAAGGGAGGAGGGTGTAGTCTGTCCTGATGGGGAAGGCAGGGCAGAGGCACTGCGACCCAGCTCGTCACGTGCACCCACAACAGACAGACAACTGCTGGCGTGCCCTTATTTCTCCTTTCTATTCGGTCTGAGCCTCCAGACCAGAGAAAGGATCTTCTCACCTCAGCTAACTCAATCTAAAGGCTAGATATTCCCAGAGGTTCGTCTCATAAGTGACAGCAGGTCCTGTCGAGTTGACAATCAGTACTGGTATGACAAAATGTAAATTAGTCCAGCCACTATGGAAATGGAGGGTCCTAAAAAAAACTAAAAATAGAACTACTGTATGATCCAACTATTGCTACTTTTGGGTGAATATCCTAAAGAAATGAAGTCAGTACACCACAGCACTATTTTGAACAGTAAGAATTAGAGTAGTTAAAAAAAAAAAGAATTGGCCTATTGCTCAAGAGATAAAAATATAAAGGAAACAACATAAATACACACATATCATATACACACATATGCATATACTATATACACACATCATATATATGCATACATGTGTTCCATATGCACATGCATGCATTCCATATACACACATACACATATCATATACACACATACACACATACCATATAAATATATACCATATACACACATACCATAAAATATTATTTAGCTGAGCAGAATAAGGTCCTGTCATTTTCAGAAAATTCAATGGAATTGAAAGTCATCATGTTTAATAAAACAAGCCAGATACAGGAAGACAAATATCACACACTCTTTCCCATAAGTAAAACCAAGAACCCATCATTCTAAGAACAGAATAGTGATAACTAGGGACAGGGAAGGATACAGACGCAAGAGAGTAGAAGAAGCGCAGACAGCCATAGTGATCCATGTCGTTTGCCCACATGGAAATACTACAGTGAATCCTATTGGCATGTACACTTATATGTACTAACAAAAACAGATATTTACTTAATGATGAAAATATAAAACCTAAGATAAAATGAACAAATATAAATTACTCCAAGGAACTAAAACTGGAATACAAGTCTATATATGTCTATAAGTAGTAAGAAAAATATATTATATAATCAGGAAAAACAGAAAGACAAATGCAGATTGAGAACTAAGTATGCAGTCCAGAGGCTGAGAGGTGAGATGTAAAGAGTAAGAGGAGGAAATCCCTTCTACATCATTCCAGAAGAGAAGTTTATAGGCTTGAGTTTTATAAACTGCACAAGGGCAGCCTAGAATCAAATAAAATTTTATGTGAACACTGATGTAAACTCCTTGGTATTAGCATAAAGAATCAACAATATATAAAACTGCATCGAGCAAAATAGCATTAACCCCTACTATATCTAAATGCATCACACTAACGAAGCAAGAATGCATTAATCATTCCAGTTGATACAGCAAAAGCATCTGATGAGATCCAGCTCATTATTTAAAACAGAAGCCCAGGACCATGCTTCCTATTACATATTATTTTTCCCTCCCAGAGGAAGATCCAGAAGGATGCTAAAAGC